GGGATTACTTTTACATAAGTGCACAGGGCTATTTGAACCTTGAACCATGTTCAATATAAACATAGAACATAGTAACATTATACACGAAACATGAGATAAAAAAATCAGATCATCTAAACAAACGGTGTCGTTGGTGGCGCTCTCCTATTTCGACCCCAAAGCCTCTGAGGCTGGTTTAACAAAAATGCATCATACTGAGCTTTAAATATATTCACTCACATTCACACTCTGATGGAGTGCATCAGAGAGCAACATGGGGTTAGTATCTTGGCCAAGGATATTTGGGCAGACTCCATTAGGCTGGAGGAGCCGGGGATCGAACCACCAACCTTCCAGTGAGTAGGTGACCAGCTCTACCATCTGAGCTGCTGCCATCCCACTGTGCTTCGGTTTTCCAGCATAACGAGGGTAACTGTGACAGCAAGATAGATGAGAAACACAGTGAATCTGAAAGTATTAGAAGTCAGGTTGTTAGTTGTAAAGACGGAGGATGAGCAGCATCTGTATCACTTCTCAGGAGGAGAAACGAGACCAAGAGAGTTTCACTGTAACGATGCATTAAATGCATTAAAATACAAAAAAAAACATCCAAATCTTTACTCTCTGTCTCACACTTTTGCATGTGCTATACATGCATATAGAAGCAGCGCTTCCATCCACTGTGGTGCATGTTCCAGCTTTGATAATCCTTGCCTTAAGAGCCAATCAAAATCCAGATTCTAGGAAAAACAGGAAGGGGAAAAAGCATCAGGTCACATGAGGTCAGCTGATAATTGTGTAGCCTCAACGATTTCAAAAGGTGGTTATAAAAATAATGATTACAGAAGGATTCACTTCACTGTAATGAAGACCTGAATGAACCTGTGTGTGTGTGTGTGTGTGTGTGTGTGTGTGTATTAATAGCTAAGCATCACGTGACGTAGCATCACAAACACACCGTTATATTTAGCTTGTCCACAGAAGGCTGCAGCTCTGAGCGGCTGTTCGGATCAAAGCTTTTCATTCAAACTTAATGAAGACTTCATGTGCCCACAGAGCGAATGTTTACAGCCAGGTGAGAATAGTCACATGACAGTTCTTTGGCTACTTACACCTGGCCTCCTCAGCCCCCAGATAAAGAGCAACAGTCCTGGTGGAGGCGTGGTTGTGATAAATATACA